CACACACACACACACACACACACACACACACACACACACCTGTGATGCACAGCAGACAAGACTCTAGAATAATCTCCAGAATAATGTCACGTTACTGTTAACGAAATACAGCAACTGTGTCTTTACGTGACTGCACAGAATCTCTTTCTTTATGATCAGTGAGGTCGTCTACACAGAAATGTTTAGTGATGGGTCACATGGTTCACACCGCACAGCTCCGCTCACTTCCTCTCCTCACTATCACACACACACGACAGATGTGATGACGTCACGCACCAGCTCACTCTGCTGGAGTGGCATGAAGGTTACAGATGGTTTCAGGGATTAAAGTTCCGTCGCTACATTCATAAAGCCAGTCACTTGCTTCATTCCTGAATGAATTAGTCGTTCGAACGAATCAATTGAATAAATGATTCAGTGATAAACTCAATTAGTTGCCGCCACCTACTGGCAGTTATTGACTTGCTGCCACCTGCTGGTGGATTTAGTTTAATTTTTAGCATATAATTTCAGTTATTTAAATCATATTTCTATATTCAAAATTGTATATTTAAAACATTAATCTCCACATTAATTTATGAATTTAATTGCACTCATGCGTCCTCTGAGCCTCATTAAACGTCTGAAAATACACTAACACATTAAACTGGATGTGTGACAGGTACGGCTGAGGAATGGGGTTTGGTTGAAGAAAAATTCATTTTTTTTGCTTTAACCCCTGCAATATAATAATAAGTAGAATAAGACAAATAAGTTACCAATCATATGAAATTAGCATTAATAAATTAATTTGTACTACAGAGGTGGCACAGAAGAACACAAAAGTGTCTTGTAGGTGTATTTTCAGACGTTTAATGAGTCTCAGAGGTGGCATGAGTGCAGTTAGATTAATAAATTCATGTGGAGATTAATGTTTTAAATATAAAATTTTGAATACAGAAATATGATTTAAATAACTGAAATTATACGCTAAAAATGAAACTAAATCCGCCAGCAGGTGGCAGCAAGTCACTGATTTTATCACTGAATCATTCATTCAATTGATTAGTTCGAACAGCTGATTCATTCAGGAATGAAGCAAGTGACTGTCTTTATGAACTGACGTAACTTTAATCCCTGTGGTTTCCCGGTGTGCGTGACAAACCTGTTCTGTGAATATTCTGGTTTTGAGGTCAGGCATTCCACTTCCCCTCAGCTCATCCTCTACCACCATCAACCTGCAACACACACACACACACACACATTCCCAGGATGCTCTGGTAATCGCAGGGACAAAGTCACGAGCGCGCGGCACGCGTCTGACCTGTTGATGATGCCCTTGATCTGCGAGTCTTTCTCCACCTGCTGGTGGCGCAGTCGTCTCTCGCTGTCATCCAGCCGGCTCTGGTACTGCAGCAGGATCTTACTGGTCTGCTGCTCCTGCGAATGCAGCCGGCGCTCGTACTCCTCCAGCTTACGGTGGGACATCATCAGACGCTCCTTAAGAGAGTGGATCTCCTCCTCGTACTCGCGCACCTGCACAGAAAGAGTAGAAAATGAGCACGAGGGTAAATGCTGCCAACAACATGTTCAGAAATGTAACTAAATAAAGCCATTATGATTTTGGCTTTCTTTATGCAAAATATAATTTAAAATATTTTTCATAAAGAAATGCATTTATTTTAAAATATGTTAATTATTCAAAACATTTTATTTAAAGCCACAATATGTCATTTTCGCCGCTAGAGGGCGCGTTCAAAACAAACAAATAGACAAAGGCTCTCTCTTTTGGTGAGGTTTGATGACGACGTGACTGAGTGTGGAATCATGGGAGTTGTGGTCTTCATCCCCTCTTATTACTGTGATGCAAGGTTATTTTCGTAAACGAAAACTAAAACGACTGATGAAAAAACAATTACGTAAACTGAAATAAAATTAAAATGACTAAATAATCGAAAAACTAAAATGAAACTAAACTAACAACAGATATTGAAAAACTAGCTGAAATAAATCGTCAAAAACAAATAATCGTTTTCGTAATCGTTACGTTCTCACCCCTTGGAGGAAAAAAATACGAGCTGTGTGGCGGTTTAGGGAAATAGCTACCTGTAATGGCGCATCACGCACATGGGGTTATCTGACGGGGAGTTTTTATTATCTATTTATTATTATTTTATTACTATTTATTTTCTCATCTAACACAGGCATTCTAAGTTGGCGCTTTGAAGAAAAACAGACACGCAGCGCAACGTGATAATTAGGCTAACAGAGAAAAAAGAACGCGCATCCTTTCTGTAAACAATACAAAACTTCAGCCTAGCATCTTGTGATCACTCTGCCAGGCTTTCGGACAAATATGCATTGGCTAAATCACATCATACACACGCTTATAATTCTTCATAAATGAAAAGAACATATTCAAATATGAGCCTTTACTGTTAAATGCGATTGCCACTATTATTGAATTTCATTAGTCCCAGTTATGATTTATGCGCATTTGTTCACGGAAAAGTGAGCAAGCACAACTTGTGTAGATTTATTTTGTAAAAAGGCTTGACTGCTTCATTTTGCCGTATATTTGTATACTTCCATTTAATCAATCTCAGCATGCATTAATTTCGTGTCGCTAGACGTTTGCCTCACTAAGGCTAAATTATGCCTAAAATATAAATTATGCCTAAAAACACTGCTAAAATTCGCATGCGTATGAATGGAAGTCAATGGAACGAAAAGTCTAGTGTGACCCCGCGGTCAAGTCTTTCTTTGGCCTGCGCTCTGGAAGTGATCTGTTAATTCTGCTAAACTTGAAAACTGAAACTAAACAATATAAAACTAAAAAAATGTAAAATAATGTGTTCACAAAATAAAATAAAAACTAAACCAAAACTAACAACAATATTAATGAAGTTAATAAAAACTAAACTGAATTTTATAGCAAATTTGAAAACGAAATTAAAATAAAACTCATTTAAAAATTCTAAACTATAATAACCTTGCTGTGACGTTGAATAATTCTGATAGATTATTTGCATTACGAAGCTGTTAATTATCAAGAAAATGTCACAATGCAAAATGTCTTCATTTTTATGCAAACTATAATTTTAAGTACTTTGCATAAAAATACTAATTAATTTTTATATGTATCATTTATTTTTATAAATGAAAAATAAGCCATTATGATTTTTAATGCACTACGACGTTCTTACTGACAATATAAAACACTTAAAATGAAAAAAAAAAAAAAGTATATATTTTGCTGCCTGTTTTAAAATTTTTTATTTTAGTTTTAATTTTAGTGTTTAATTATCAAGAAAATAATTTCACAATGCAAAAAACAACACATATTTTCTTGATGCAAAATAAAATGTTAAATATTTTTGCATAAAGGATTTTTTTTCAATTTATAAAAATTTAATGTGTGTAATAATATAAAAAAAAAGATTACATGTAATATTTTCAGTTGATTTTGAAGTGAAATATGAGCTGGACTTTTAATGATTATACATATATTTTTTTATATAATAACTTTACAGTCACTTCATTAAACATCAATGTGTTTATTATGGTGTGGTGTTTGTTTAACCCACGTTACAGTAGTGTCAGTACTGACCCGGTCCAGACGGGACTCATCCATGCTCTTAGAGTGCTCCTTCAGTTTTAAGTCCTCGCGATCCACACGCAGACTCTCGATGTCTGCAGACAGATGCGGCATGTTGGACACCCAGGCCACCGTACGCTCGGACGCGGCTGAGGGAGGATTGAGAGTCGACGGAGACTTTGAGCCCTGAAACACACGAACACAGAGAAAACATGACGCTCATCTGAATCTGAGACTGTAGACATACACTACTGTCAGTTCAATCAAAGAAGAAAGACAGTTTAGCAAGGATGCATTAAATTGAAGACATTTCTATTCATCTGTGAATCCTGAAAAATACAACGTCTCACGATTTCCACAAAAATATTATTTCAACATGGATAATAATCAGAAATGTTTCTTGAGCAGCAAATATTAGAATGATTTCTGAAGATCATGTGACACTGAAGACTGGAGTAATGATGCTGAAAATTCAGCTGCGCATCACAGAAATAAATTACAGTTTAACACATATTCACATAGAAAACAGCTGTTTTAAATAATAATAATATTTCACAATATTACGTTTTTTTTCCTGTATTTCTGATCAAATAAATGCAGCCTTGATGAGCAGAAGAGACATTAAAAATCGTTCTGATCCCAAACTTTTGACCGGTTGTGTGTGTGTATATATTTATCAGTTATTGAATACATAATGCATTTATTCACAAAACACTTGTGATTTTATGTATTTCAAATGCATATGC